CCCTGTCCCCCTACTTCCTTAGCTTTCTTTAGCTGACTGGAATGGAAGGCTCTTCTACCCTTGGCTTCCAATCTGGATTTCATTCAATACTCTAGATGCAGGTTCTAGATATGCTCCAGAATATATAAACACAAACAGAGGAAGCCACTGCCCTAGGAGCTGGCAATCTAAACATTGTGGGGACGGGGGTAGGATGTCATGTAAACTAATGCACAGGGTTCAAGGAGTGCTATTACAATGTGGTGCGGAGTTCGGTGACAGCTCAGGGGAAGAAGGAAACCACCTTGCTTCAGTAAAGGCTTCAAAAAGAGGCTGGAGCAAGGTGTTAAGAACGCACTGACAGAAAGGTGTGCAGTACGCACACTACGGTGTACAGTGTATCCCAGAGGTCCATGTACTAGACATTTGCTCTTCAGAATATTGAGAGTTAACAGATCTTTTAGAGGAAGAACTTAGAGGGAGGTGATTAGGCCATCAGAGCAACATACCCTTGAATGGATTAATGTGCTTCTTGAGAGGCTGGGTTCCTTCTCTCCAAGATTAGGTCTCAGGAACAAATTAGGTCTTTGGGGGCTGAATGAATATGGTGAAAGTTGGCTCTTTATGAAGTAGTTCAGCTTCTCCTGTCTCACCATCTTACACGTGCCCATCTGCACGGTCTTACTTAGCACGAGCTGGGGCAGCATAAGGCCCTCATAAGAAGCCAAGCAAAGGCAAGCAGCATAGTCTTGGACCTTCTGAACTGTGAGATAAAGAAATCTGCTTCTATATAAATTCCTCAGTCTTGGGTATTTTTTTATAGCTTCAAACACATCTGACTACAACATAGAGTGGAACAGTATTAATCCTTAAATATGAAGGAAATTCTGACTCAAGATTCAATGTGGATGAGCTAAAGGCTATGCTAAATGAAAAATGGCACAAACAAGTGGACAAATACTATGTTACAGCAAGGACTTGGAGATGGCGTTTACTAAAAGTATTGGCTCTTCACTTGACCCTGCCAATTCTTGACAGTGGCTAAAAGCAAGATATGGCTGAGCCTCTCTGCCTTATCTTCTATCTGTCACCTTTACTTTAGGTTAGATTTCCGATCAGCTCTGCAAATAGACACATCAATTATGTAAGAAGTGCCTGTCCTAAACCTTCAGTCACCTTGGCTTCCAAGAACAGTGGAGCCTCACAGACAAATCACCCCATGATGAGATCACACCCCCTCACAAATGGAAGCAGTTATTCCACAACAGAAACTGGGGCTGTCCCCCACAGTGGGCACCATCATCTCATGGGAACCACGGGTCCCTTCAAGCCACCACAGTGATCAAGACTTGTCACCTTGCAACACCTGAACTGAGACAAATATCAACCATAGCAGAGTCTTCCCAGGACTGCTGAACAATGTGTGCCTTGGACCCCGCCCCAATTCTTCCTGTATTTAAACCTAAAGTTCTTGTCAATACCTGAAATAGGCTGAGCTGTTTCATCTTTTCTGTCTTTCCAATATGGCCATAACGAGTAACAAATTCCCTTCCAGCCTCTCCTCCTATGATTTTTCACGTGATTTCTGGGCTGAGTGCAGTGCTAAATTTGTTGGGACAGCTGTCCTATCCCAAGATTCAGGTGTCTGCCTAGGAG